TGGCCTGCACTTCCTCAGCTGTTCAGCATGGCCAGAACTGTCACTTCCCGAGCACTTGAAAGGCCCCCTGCCTGCTCCACATCATTTGTTTCACTGCACTGTAATAAAAATATCAATCAGCAAAAAATTCTTGAAGTCTTGTTTCTCCTCCTTGGTGGTGATGATACATCAAAAGTGTGAGGAGCATCAGTATCACCCAGATCTGTATCCACCAGAGCATCAACACGCTCTGAGGCACAGCCTGGGAAAGGCAGTGCCATTAAGGAACTCAATTAATATCAAATATTCCCCACATCCCAGCAGATAAGGGAGGACATCCAGATGTAACAGGTCTATCCTTCTAAATTGCTTTTTTTCTTTGTTTTTAACAGACCTCCATTTCAAAAAAAAAAAAATCAGCACACACAGATCTGAGCCTCCCTCTCTCAGCTCAACGTTCCTTCTAATTTATACACGCAAAATAATGTTCAGATGCAAAGATTCTGATGTTACAGTTGGTATTTAAATAAAAAAAAGCCTCAAGCAAGTGCACAAATTCTGGGTTTCCCAGGGATTTAGAGGGTGTAATCCCCTTAGGCTGCTCTGAAAATTGCAGCCTATTCTTAGTTCCTGCCAGTCCATGTCAGCAAAATGGCTGCTCTTCATTATAATATTTTAATACTTGGGAGTGTTAATTGAGGTTAAGCTCAGGTTGTGCCCAGAATGCTTAAAAAAAAAAAAAAAAACCAAAAAATCAAACCTGCAATAAAATGAAAGCCTCCTGAAAATAGTATGAAATGTAGATAGGAAAAATCTGTGGAAAACTTGGTGTGGAGACGAGGTCTCCTTCCCAAGGGGAAGATGCAGACACAACAACAGAACTCACATCTGTTCATCCTCCCTCCGGGACTTTCAAATCCAGGTTGGACAGGGCTTGGAGCAACCTGGGCCAGTGGAAGGTGTCCCTGCAATGGGCAGGGGGGTGGAACAAGCTGGTCTTGAAGGTCCCCTCCAACCCAAACCCCTCTGGGATTCTGGGATCACAGGCACATCCCAACTGTCACACCAGGCAGGTCAATCCCAACCTCACGGCAACGACGTTGAACCGCCTTGAAGAACAGATGGAAAAAAATGTCCTATTTTTATAAATAAATCAGTGAGGGATTCCCAAAATCAAGATATTAAGACAACAAGCTGCCAGGCTTAGTGCTGAGATCATCTTTAGGTGAAGCAGGTTGCCCACGGGAGTCACAGCTCAGAGGGAAGCCCTGGCTCCAGGCATCTCCCTCAGTTCCAAGGGGATTCCATTTCGGATCTAAGACCAAAACCAACTCGCATTTCTCTCAAAAGATGACAGATTTTCTGTAGGAAATCTTCTCATTTTAAGGGGTTTCTTCTTACCAAAAATAATGACTGGTTTACTAAAGAACAACAAAGGTTTCGGTCTCTAACCTGACTCTCCTACACTTCCAAATATTTTTTTTAAGGAAGAAAAAAAAGAAAAGCTTATTCAAAATACAGCACCTCACAAGGAAAACATCATCACTCAGAACTCTGCTGTCCTTATCCTGGTATCCAGACTGTGCTCACAAACTGTTTCTAGCAGTTAACACTGATAGAAACTCCATTTTTCAGGAATTCTGCACTGAAAATCAGCCTAAATTTTACATGGAAATGCTGTGCCAACAGTGAAATCCTTGTTGGCATGAAGGAGATGAATTCCATGCAAGTGTTTATGTAGATAATTATGTGAAAACAAGAAAGTAAAAGTCCAAAGCCCCGGGGTATCAACAACAGAATTAATTTATATAGAAATAATTGAATTTATACTGTACTAACACACTCCCAGAACACAGAGCTCTGAAACTGCCTGATGGAAACCAAACACTGGGACACCATGGGGTGTTCTTGGGGCTTACAGAGAATTCTAACAGGGTGGTTCAAAGAAGAAAACGTTACTAAATATGTAAAAAAAATCATCTCTGAAAAGCTAAAATTATTCAATGAGGAAAATATCGCTTTAAGAAAATTTAATGAAAAATCCAACTAGAAAATGAATGTATCCCCATAACCAGTGGAGCTTGAGAATGACAATGATGCTAAAACAAGCAGAGCTGAATGTGTCAGTTGAGAAATCAGGATTTCAAACTCATGATGCAAAAATCATCTCATTTTTAAATCCTTATATCAAAAGGCCCATTTTCATCAGCTTAACGAGGCTGCCTTATACCAGCAAATATGTTTTTAAGTATATGAAAATCTGGAATTATTGTGCATTTAAAGATCATCATATAATAGAATCACGGATTGGTTTAAGCTGCAAGGGACCTTAAAATCCATCTCCTTCCACCCCTTGCCATGGGCAGGGACACCTTCCACTAGCCCAGGTTGCTCCAAGCCCCATCCAACCTGGCCTTGGACACTTCCAGGGATGGGGCAGTCACAGCTTCTCTGGGCAAAGTAATTTAAATAAGATACTGAAAAATCAGTTTCTGGGAAGACAGTAGACTAACCTCATTTGATTTGCTACCTCATTTTTAATTTGATTTCAAAGCCACTGCAAGTTCTGGAAGCAGGACTACAGCTCATGGCAAAACCTCCTCCTCTGTCCTCAGTCCCACAGTGAATACTACAGGTCTCAAACACCCTGAGGAGGGGACACAAGAAAAACCAGGAGTTCTCAAGGTTCACTGCCAGCAGCTGATCTGAGCAGCTCCCTTTACCAACCACTGCCAGAAATCGTGTTCTTGTGGGGCAAATCCCTCAGAGCACCTAAAATACAACCAGGGACACAGACCTAGAGCGAGTCCAGAGGAGGCACCGGGATGATGAGAGGGATGGAGCAGCTCTGTTGGGAGGAGAGGCTGAGAGAGTTGGGATTGATCAGCCTGGAAAAGAGAAGCTTTGGGGGGACCTGATTGTGGCCTTTCAGGTGCTGAAGGGGCTACAAGAAAGATGGAGAGAGACTATTTACAAGGGCCTGGAGGGACAGGACACGGGGAATGGATTCACACTGCCAGAGGGCAGGGTGAGATGGGATATTGGGAAGGAATCCTTGGCTGTGAGGGTGGGCAGGCCCTCAGCACAGGCTGCCCAGAGAAGCTGTGGCTGCCCCATCCCTGGAAGTGTCCATGGCCAGGTTGGATGGGCCTTGGAGCAACCTGGGCTAGTGGAAGGTGTCCTTGTGCATGGCAGGGGGTGGGACTAGACAGGTTGTAAGGTCCCTTCTAACCCAAACAGTCTGTGATTCTGTAACTTGGAAGACTTTATTAAAAAGCCCTTACTATTAAATGATGTCTCAAGCAGCAGAGCAGAGGCTGAACATGAACAGCAGAAACCTGTGTGGAAGGAGGAAAGGCTGGCACAGGAGGAGGTTGTTAATCTACAAGCCAGATAATTAACTAATTTGAATGGTTGCTTGCAGGTTTACGGAGATGAATGAAAATGTCCCAACTGGAAACCAATTTTAAAGAGAAAGACAAAAGAAGTTGGCACCTTCCACAATATGTTTATGGCTTTTCCTATAAAGAGGCCCTCACAGAGTCATGCACGTTCCTCTGAGGGAAACTATTGACTATTCTTTATGTCCTCAGTAAATAAAGGCCTTCACCAACTCATCTGTAGACTTTAAATGTTGTATCTTTAGTAAGAGCTTTTAATACCTGATCAATAGCTTGGGGGAAAAAAACCATTTTACAAGTCTAAGTTTAATAGTGGTGACAACTTGAATGTTGCCTTCTGAAAGATTTTTAAAAGGGGAAATGAAAACCAGGTCTTGCTTCTGCTCTGAGAGAGCATAACAAGTAAAGGTAAATATAAACCAGTCCTGGTTTTTTTTCCCCATCAGGAATAGCACAGAATACAGACATTTTGCTTTGTAGTTTTTTTTTTGCACAGCTGAAAGAGAACAGGGCTAGATGGGATCTTGGGAAGGAATTGTTGGCTGTGAGGATGGGCAGGCCCTGGCACAGGTTGTCCAGAGAAGCTGTGGCTGCCCCATCCCTGGAAGTGTCCAAGGCCAGGTTGGACAGGGCTTGGAGCAACCTGGGCTGGTGGAAGGTGTCCCTGCCCATGGCAGGGGGTGGGACTGGATGGGCTTTGTGGTCCCTTCCAACCCAAACCATTCCACGATTCTGTGATTTGCCTTTGGTGTTGTGTTAACAACATTCAGGCAATCTGAGCATGTTCCTCCAAATAAAAAGCAATTTTTGAGGCCAAATAATCATCTAGAACAGCAACAACTCTGCATTGCCTTTGGCTTTTAGAAGGAAAGAAGTCTTAGAAGAAGTAGATTCACCCTGTGGTGAACTTTTGTCCATCCACCAGGGTCCAAGAGCTGTTCCCACAGCCCCAGAGCACTTGGCCACGACACAACTTCCTACGGCTCATAATCACATCTTCAAACCTTTAAAATATTTAAGGAAAGTGGCATTGTCAGCACCAGCTGATCATTTTCTAAGCTAAACAACCAGCCTGCAGCAGCATTTCAGAAATGCTGATTTCTCATCTTAGGGACAGGCACATCAAACAGTTTGGGTGTGATTTCCCATTAACACTTGTTTTGGGTATTTTGTCACGTAAAAAATAAGGTCATTTTTTTTTTTCTACTGCTGGATTGTTCATTATTGTACATTGGGAAGGAAGCAGAGGAGCAGGTGCTCTGCCCCTGCAGAAAATAACTTTAAAAGAGTCTAAAATAAATCCTATTTTTCAGTATTATACTCTCTACATTCCTCCTAATGTAATGCATTATGTGTTTTAATTTATAGCTCCATGAAAAGTTTGCTCAGTGTGAAAGTGGAGAAAATATTAATCCACCCCCAAAAAAATTAATTTCTTCATTGAAGCTGAATGTGCTGATTGTGGTCCTGGTTTCCTGAGGGCTTCATTTTCTTACTCAACATTAAAATTTTCTAAATAATCTTCAAGTTCTGATTATTATGAAAAAAGAAAAATCATAGAAAACAAAAAGCATGTTAAAGGAAATCAGGTTTTAATGATTTCATGTTCTGTCCTTCCAGGCTTTCGTATCGGACTGGGCAGGACACGGCGAACTGCGACACGTGCAGGAACAGTGCATGTATTATCTACAGGTAGGTCCAAAATATTAACATTCCCACTTTTTTCCTGAGTGAAAGCCATGATTTATTCACTAAGAGGGCCTCAGTGGTTGATCTTGATTTTCCAACCAACACAACGTAAATTGAACTTCACTAAATTCATAAAATTCAAGTGCAAGTCTAAATTTTCAGATCAGAAGTAGCTGGTTGTGGTCAGTGCTGCTCTGGGATGGGAGGGGCTGCAAGGTGTGAGCTTCAAGTTTTTGGGATTTTAGGATTTTCTGACCAACAAGTCAACTTCAAATTGACTTTTGTACACTTCTGTACACCGAATTTATTTTTACAGCAGTAACAACTGGACTTGGGAAATCATTTGGGAAGAGGTAAAGTACAGCAAAGAGAACCAGATACAGATTAAAGCCAGACAGTTTTAGCTGTAAAATCAGGGTTAGGTTGGATATTGGGAAGGAATTCTCCCCTGTGAGAGTGGGGAGTTCCTAGCACAGGTTGCCCAGAGAAGCTGTGGCTGCCCCATCCCTGCAAGTGTTCAAGGCCAGGTTGGATTTGGAGCAATCTGGGATAGTGGAAGGTGTCCCTGCCCGTGGCAGGGGGTGGAATGAGATGGTTTTTCAAGGTCCCCTCCAAGCCAAACCACTGTGATTCCACGATTGTGATACACTGACATTCCTACCTAAGCCTTTTTTTGGCATGTCCTCATTTTCCAGTGCAGGAATAACAGGCACTGGGCACGACACGAGGCCATCATGAGCCCGATGATGTGTCTCATACTGACAACTTAATTGTCCTTCTCCATCAGAGGCTTAAAAAACCAACTGAATGTTTTGATGCGTTGCAGGGAGGAGGGAAACAAACGCGTCTCAGAGTGTGTCACAAAATCAGGCCCCACAGTAGAAATGAAAATGTACAAACGTGACAATTCCCGGGGAGATACAAACTGAAATCGAGGTACAAACGTCGCCTGGGAGGGAAAAGTGCAGGATTTCCCCCCTCACTCCTCAGTTCTCTCCTCAGTCTGATTCAGGCAGAGGACCCTGAAGGTGTTTATTTCTGTATTGTCTCCTCACTGCACAGAAGCGAGGGGAAAAAAGGATGGAAACCTTCAGCTCCATCTTACCAACCACACCAGGGTTCTGTGCAGGGGCAGGAGCCAATTAATTTCTTTATTCCTCCTTTAAAGCCAGGTTTAGAGGCATAAAAATAACCAAAGCCTCCCATGCCTCCCTCTTCCTGGGCAATTCCTGGCTCAGGGCAGCCTGGAGGTACAACCCAGCACAAATCCATCAGGGAATTATTCTTGTTTCATTAGCTAAACAAAATCCAATTAGATTTTTTTTTTCCCCCCAAATCTTGATTTCTTCACAGTGGATTTCAAGTTAAGGAATAAATCCAGAAGGTTCCTTTGCTCCCTGCCAATGAAATGAAGATTTGAAGAGTTTCTCTAATGGGAGATGGTGGAACAGGCAGGTCCAGCTCTCCATCCCCACCCCAACTGCCTCTGGAGTGGACATTTGCCTAAAGCCACGTTCCCAGAGCAGGTTTTAGCACAAAACAGCTCAGCTTTTTGCCAGTTTAGGAGAACAAATGTTGCAGGCAAAGAAAAAACCACCCTAAAAGCAGAGACGCTGCAAAGCGGGGAACCACGAGAAAAGTGAATTACTGAGACAAGATAAGCAGCCAGGAGGGATAAACCAGGAATTCACTGATAAAAACCAGCACTGAGACAGATTGTCTTGTAGGAACTTGTGCTCCCCCACAAATCAGCTGCTCCCTGACACCTCAGAGTGCAGCAGTTCATTAGTGAGGGCGTTAATTAAACCCAGATGCACCTCTGCCAAGGGTTCACGTGTCAAACACTGCACAGGGGTACCTGATTTCCTCTCACGACCAGAAATTAAAGCTCAGCTTAAACTGTCCAAGGGGCAATAAAACCCTGAGGAAACACCCCTGTCACACCAGGAGGTCCTTAAAAGTCTGGAGCTCTTTCGCCCAATTAATACACAGGAAAGACTTAAATAAAAATATAACCAAAGGCCTGATGGAAAAATCAATAATTTGAAGAGAAAACCTTCACTTTGCTGTAATTGTCTGTGTGGGTTTTTTAAATATGATTCCATTTGGAACACTGCAACATTTAAAAAAAAAAAAACAAATTTAGAGCTGTTTCAAACCTGTATTTTTAAACTGCAAGGGAACAGCATCGTAGAGGAAGGATTAGGTTATTACCCAACTGCATCCTGCAGTGCCAGGACCAGCACAGGTGAGAAGGTGGAAATCCATGGAATTCAATTCTTCCCCCCTCAAGATGAATTTTCAGGGTATTGATATAATGTAGCACAGAAGCCAGAGACAGTGTAGAAGGCAATAAAAAAAAAAAGCCCTGTTGTACTTTAAAGGGTTTTTAGCATCAAAAATATCAATAGTGTTAATAAGAATGCCTTTTGGCAATAGTTATTTGGTATATTAAATTAAAATTTTTGATTAAATTTTTGACTGAGTAGATTACAAATCTACTTTTACATTATTTTCTCTTTATATTGAAAAGAATACATTTCTTAGTATTAAAGAAGAGAAAGGAAAACTTGTCTCGTTTTTCTTAAAAAAGTAGGGAACTGACAATCAAATACTAAAGAGTGTTAAAAAGAAAAGGTACCAAAGCCTGAAACTGTTTTAGAAATCAGGAAGAAAAGAAAAACATCCACATTTAGATACCCTTTTTTTCCTCAAAATTCTGCTTATTTCTGCAATATGTTCAGGAACTTGGAGCTCCAGACACAGGAGTCACTGACATTTTCTTCCACTGCATCAGCTGAGCCACAGACTTAAATCTGTCACTAAAATTATTCAGCATCGTGTCTTTGTAGTCATTTCCAGACTGTATTTAAAACAGGACCCAAACATGTGATCAAATGGTAAAAACAACCCAGCCCTTCATCATTTTCTCCATCAGCATCAATATCTCATAACCCAAGGCCACAGAACAGTTTCAAAAATCATCTTCTACCACCACAAGACAAATTTCCACGTCTGTACTTTACAAACATTTTCAAAATATGTTTTATCAGGGTTGTATTTTGCCAGGATTCAACTTAAATATTGAAATGAAGCCAAATCTCCCCAGCCTGGTTTATTCTGGAATTCTCTTTTCCTAGAACTGCCCTTTTTCCTCCTGTTTAATTTCCCAGCCTGGGTGAAGTTTTAATCCTCGAGCAGAAACCTGGAGGAGATAACAGGGCTTCTCTTTCATATTTTGTGCATTAATCTTAGGCCTTTAGCAAGAATTGCTTCTGGGAAGGAGCATCCTGGAGGATTCCTGCTGGATTTCCCTGGAATGGGAAAGGTCAGGAATACTCAGCAGCTTTTACAAGGCTACTTTGGTTTCCAGAAGGAAACTTTTAGGAGATAAATCACTCCAAGTTGTACCAACCATTACTTTGGCTGCTTTTCACGCCTCTGAAATTTTGATTTATGCTGGTGTATTTTTAGTTGATATTAATCTAAGGTGGACTCACATTATTCAACAGAAAATGTATTATCAGAATCTGTGAAATGCAATTCATGTACAAGAGAGCTGCAAGAGAAACAGGTTAAAATAGAGGGATAAAAGCTAAAAGCTAAAAGTTAGCAAAGAGCCCATGTGTAAAGGCCAGATATTTAAATTATTAATTATTAAAATTAATAAATATAACCACACAAAGTGAACATAAGGCATCAATCCCCAAGACTGCAACAGTCTAATAAAATCAGGTGATCAAACGATGAGAATAGTCATTTTCATCACCTTTTTATTTCCTACCCACGTTAATTAATTCATATGTTCTCATCTTATCTCGAGACTGTAAGATGCTTAGTGGGAAAAATGGATCTCAGTGGCTTGTTAATGCTGGCAGGGCTTTGGATCCCGGGCTTTGGGGATTTGGGGGTTGCAACAGGAAATTCAACATGCTGGAAAGTGCATTAAGGTAATTTCCAAGTGATTAGTGCTTATCTGGATCCTGTTTTTCCAAGATGGGGGCATGAACTAATGGCATGTCATCCAATTAACGTGACCCAGGAGGAGACAGGATGAAAATCTTTAATTCCTGCTTCACCTACTCGACTTAAATTCAAAGAGTTCAGCTGCTCTGTAAGTGCTGGGAGGATTTGGGCTTAACATGGGAAACTCAGGGATAAAAAGGTGAACTGAAGGGGTGTCACCTGAAATGAAAGCAGAGGGAAGGGCAGCCTGGAGCCTTTGCAAGCTCCAGCCTTGGAGGTGACAGAAGACAAGTGGAGAAAGGACAGGGAGCTGCTGGAGAGAGTCCAGAGGAGGCACCAGGATGATCAGAGGGCTGGAGCAGCTCTGCTGGGAGGAAAGGCTGGGAGAGTTGGGATTGTTCAGTCTGGAGAAGAGAAGCTTTGAGGTGACCTGACTGTGGCTGCCCCATCCCTGGAAGTGTCCAAGGCCAGGTTGGACGGGGCTCGGAGCAACCTGGGCTATGGAAGGTGACCCTGCTCATGGCAGGGGGTGGGACTGGATGGGCTTTAAGGTCCCTTCCAACCCAAACCATTCTGGGATTTTATGATTCCCTGATAAAACCCTCAGCAACCCAATCCTGAGTCTGAATCCCTCTGACTCAGCAATCCTGCAGTGCCCAACAGATCATCAGCACCTCACAGTCTAAAAATGATTCACGACAATAATGTGTGACTGTGCTAGAAAATAAGAAAACCCATCCCTATCTCTGAGCCTGTTCCTCGATCCCCTCCCACAGTCCATATGCTTAATCCCAACGGTTATCACTCCTCAAACTCTGCTTGCAATCCCTCACAAAGCAACTAAATTAGCAAAGGTTCCCTGCTGCCTGCATGCAAAAAATAAATTAATTAACGTAAGTTCTCAAAATAGTTAAAAAAACAAAGCCAAAACCAGAAAATCCACATCAATTCCTCAGGTCCCTGACAGGAGAGCTGGAGAGGGACTGGGGACAAGGGATGGAGGGACAGGACAAGGGGGAATGGCTTCCCACTGCCAGAGGGCAGGGATAGATGGGATACTGGGAAGGAATTCTTGGCTGTGAGGGTGGTGATGCCTCAGCACAGGTTGCCCAGAGAAGCTCTGGCTGCCCCATCCCTGGAAGTGTCCAAGGCCAGGCTGGACGGGGCTTGGAGCAATCTGGGATAGAGGAAGGTGTCCCTGCCCATGGCAAGGAGTGGATTGGGTGATCTTTTAAGATCCCTCCCAACCCAAACCATTGTCACTGTGAAGGGATTACAGAGATCTTGATTACAAAGTTCTTGCTGGTGTTTAATCAGCACATCCAAATTAAATTCCCAAAGGGCTGTTATTTGGTTTTACTTGGCCAAATTTTTATAGGAAGGACATCAGTGGAAATATCAATACACAGGCAACTGCCCTAAAATGTAAAGTTCTTTTTGCAAACCTTGTAAAGACAGAGTTACTTCTGGGGAGAAAACAAAGAAAACCAAAGTATTTATCAGAGAGAGAATTTTCCTGTTTATGGAACAAAACCAGCCCATTGCTGTGCACAGGAGGAAGAATTTGAGACAGGCATTGAAGATGGAAAAAGCCTGTCCCAGTGTTCCAAATTTAACAATACCATAATTAAGTGAAGCTTTAGGATGTCCTGCTCAGGTGTGTGAGGCCAAGGTTTGTGCTGCTGGCATTATATAATGGATTTATCTCTTGTTTCTGTCGGGCTTCTTCACAATTGTCAGGCTCTTGAAAAATATAATAATATTATCTAGGAAAAAAAAATGCTTCTGAAGCAAATAATTCTCACCTCTGTGTGTAACAGCAGAAGAACACGGAGTCCTGGATAATTAAGTTAATTGAGTTATTATGGGGAGGCTTGTGGGACAAAACCCAAGTTTGAAAGTGAAAAGAGGCACATGGCCCAGAGGATATTTCAGGAAAAGGTCATTTGGAGGGAGGACACCTAGAGATGCTGAGGGACAGAAATAGCACTGAGCAAAACAGGATGTCAGAGCCGTGACAGGTGACAAAATCGAATTTAGGAGCGAAAGACCTGGAAAGATCTTCAGCTCTATAACAAAAATATCAGTAATTCCTTCAAATATGGAATTCTTGCTGAATTTAATCCTTGCAAGTGTTCAAGGCCAGGTTGGACGGGGCTTGGAGCAATCTGGGATAATGAAAGGTGTCCCTGCCCATGGAATGAGATGATCCTGAAGGTCCCTTCCGAACCAAACCAGTCTGGGATTCTGTGAATGATGACTGATGGTGACCAATGGTTGACATCAAGAGTAAAAATGAAATGAGCTATAGCTAACTTAGAAGGATACTTTAAAAAATAAAAAAAATTAAAAAAATTAAAAAATAAGAAGAAAATTAAATTGTCTTGTTACTGCAGCATAAACAGGCATAAACTGAAACCTAAGTTTGCAAGCACACAGATTATTTGCCTGAAGGGAACTGTTCCATTAAAACACCTCCAAAGCTGGATAAACTGATCTGGAGAGACACCAATCAATTATTCTGCAAAACTGACAGTGCCAAATGCTGAAATAACACGGATGTTTTTCATGCAGCCTCTTTATACCCTTCAGAAGCAAAATATTTCATTTGGATGTGAAGGGCTGAAAGCCTGAGCTGAAAATGGCAATAACATGGGGTTTGTCAGATGGTCTAGAACTAAGATGCCTTTTTTTCTCTTGAGGTCTGTCTTTAATAGAAATTGGTTATGTAAAAAGTTACTCTGTTCAGCAAAGGGTTTTTTTATAACAATCTCTCTCTTGCAGCAATTTCCAGCAGCTCTTCAGAGCTCCCTTGTAAGAGTAACTCTTGAAAGAAGCAAAAATGAACTCTGGCAGGGCCAGAGCTGAAAAGGCCTTTTATTTCCTCCCCAAATTTATCCTGAGAAACAAACCAGCCAAATGCTGCCCTTTAAATGAGATTCAGAGAGCTCTTAGAAGAGCATCTCCTCCCATTCTGAGGTCTCCTTGCTGCATCACCAACAGCATTTTTGTGCTGGGACATTCCCGATGGACTGATCTCCCCATTAAATTAACGCTGCATTTCTCCAAAATCTGCTTTTTGCCAGCTGAAGTGCACACAGGAACTGTGTTATCAGTGAAGACAACGCTGTTCTTTCATTGACAAGGAGGGATATCAATCAGCAGGGTCAGAACATGCTTCTGCAGGAACACGGTGCCCAACAGCTGCCTCCTGCAAAGTCGGGATTCTCCACTTCCAGCACAGAGCCGGGAATTTTTAAATCACCTTCTTTGATTTCAGATGGCTTTTTTTAGTCACTAAAAACATAATGCTGGGTATTTGAACTCTTACAATGTATCTCTCTCCTTTGCTGTCACAAAGTTTATCCAAATAACTCCACATCACTAAAATGCTGACACTTTTGCTAGGGGTGGATTTAAGAGTTAAACCAGGCACCAAAAAGCCCTCACACCCTTCCAGCACCCCTTTCCTCAGCTTTCCCTGAAGTCCTTCCAGACAGACTCCTCAGGTCCCAAATAAAAACAAGCCCACAATTATCCTCATCCTTCTCCCAACATCTTCGATTCCTTCTCCTCCACCCTAAGAGGAAAATAAACCCTGCTTCAGTCAGCAGATGGTATCAGGTGATATTCTGTGCTCAGTTTACAAAAATTTCCCACGAATTTCCTCTGAAATGGCTTTAAGTGTTCTGTACTAGGTCCTTACTCTTGAAGCCAGACAGGGGTAGTAGTAACAAATCCTTTTAAATCTCTTTTTGGACGAGCTCCACTGGGAGCACAAGGCCCAGGGAAGCAGATCTCACCTCTCCAGTGGTTTGTGCCCAGCAAGGAAGGGCAGAAATAGCTCAGAAAACACATTTCATACCAATTCAAAGTGCATTTAAGTCCAGGAACACTAATTTCACACTAATGATGAAGGCAGCCAGTGCAAGGCCCCTCAGCTGTGGAGGTGGACAGGGAACCTCTCGAGTGTCCAAGAGTCACGAAGTCAAGCTACCTTTAAAATATCCAGCAAAAGGCAGGAAGGAAAGAAATGAACCCTGGTGTTTAAATTCCCTTAATTTCACCCTTTTCAATCCAGCCTCTGATATCCAGGGCCCCCCCTGCAATGAGGTTGGACTAGAGGACTTTTAAAGGTCCCTTCCAGCCCAAAATATTCCATGAGGTGATGCACGAGCTTGTATATGACTCTATACATATGACAGTAGCTTGGTGTTGGTTTAATTTTGGTTTAATTTTGGTTGAATTTACTGAAATTAATCTATTTCAGGGTAAAACTGGCAAGAAAGAGGTCAGGTAAAGAAACTGCCCAATTGCTTATGGCCAATTCATCAGCTTTTCCAAAAGCACAAGGATGCAGTGCCTGGTTGGCTGCTCCCAGGGCACCCAGACAGGAGGGAAAACCAAGCCTGGAAGCCCTCAAAGATCATTTCTCCATTGAGATGACATAAAAAACTAGGATTTTCAGTTTTCAGTCATTTCTAGCAGAAATGATTTCCTCCTAAACAGCAGGAAAAGCTGAACAATCTCATTCCCACTTCTCTTTTGCACACAATGTCCTTTTTTTGACCCTTCCCTTTAACTTAAGCATTTATTTTTTTTTTTACTTGAATTTCTAAATTAAACACTTGGATGCCGGGTTAATTGAAATAGTTTTATCATCACAATTAACAACCGACTGCTTTTTTTCCTTCCCCTTTCTAGCGTGGAATTGGATTTTAAACAGCAAGAAGACAAACTCCAGCCAGTTTTGAGGAAACTTCATCCCATTGAGGAAACTCAGGTTGCACCTTTGCCTTATTCTCAGGAGAGCTACTCCTCCACTCCCAAGCAAAAATCCAAAACTGAATCAAAAAAGCACGGAAGATGGAAACTCTGGTTCCTTTAACCCAAGTGTGGAGTTCAAGGCCTTGTCTGAAAAACCTTTGGAGTTCTATCCATCCCCTCTTGACGGGATGCTGGTGGATGGAGGGGGTTCCTGGCCGACGGCAGCGTCCAGTTCTCACCGCGTGTACCAAAAAAGGCCTTTGTACCTTTGGACTCACCGGAGCGAGGGGGGAGGGAACACACCCTGCCCCCTTTTATTTGCAGTTTGCCAATGTGGGATGTAAAACCTGAATGGAAATTCGGACAAGGATGGAAAGCAAAACTCTTTCCCCTCACCCCTCGGATGTGAAAGCATCCCGTTCTGCCCCGTTAAACCGTAGGCTCCTCCCGTCCGCTCCGAAACATCGCCGTGGTTTTTTTAAAGCCTTCTGGGGGGGCAGGTGGGGAAAAAAAAAACAAAAAAACAAGCAAGCCTTATGTTTGCAGTGGTGTCAGTTTTACAGATCCATGTTGATTGGGGAGTGCAGTTTTCAGCACAGAAATCCTGGACAAAGCACAATTTTTCCTGTGGCCCGAGGCCACGACGTCCCCGAGCCCTGACTGCGCGTTCCTGCCGTCCTGCCCAGCTCCCACACGGCCACACCACCTCCAGTTTAGCTGTGTCCTCATCACCACAACCACCAGTTTGTTGTTGGCTCATCTCCAGAAGCTTCCCAAAACCAGGACAAGCCTTTAACCACATCAAGCTCACAGGGTCAAGGCTGCAGGACGATCTCGATTTGGCACTTTTGGTACCCAAAAAGGTCTAAACGACACGTTCTGGCACAGGAAAACCAAACCCAACCCCACGGACAGAACAACCATAACCCAGATTGTTGGCATTTGCCATGATTTAGTATTTTTTTTGTAACAGTCTTTGGAAAACCTCTCCACTATTGCAGAAGGCAAGCAGGAAACTTCCAGTCTGCAGCACGTGATGAAACCTGCTTGGAAGGAGCTGGAATTTTAAATGCTGTTTATTTACCAAGCTTCTCAGATGGGTTTCCCAACTTATTATGATTTATATCTCAATCTGTTAATTGTACTTGCTAATTGATACACACTTAGGGGAGAGATGTGAAGCAGGTTTTTTTTCCTAATATTATTTCGGGTTTTCTTTTTTAAATGGCACTTTAAATTTTGCTCTGACTTATAAACTGCAGCGTTTTCCTTTAAGTATTTGCTACTGCCATTAAACTTGCATCTAAAATGACCACTGGTGGAAAAATTCCTGATGTTAGAAGTGGCCAGGGAGTGGGAATCTCTTTGTCTTTTGTTCTGGTTTGGTTTTTTTTTAAGGATTTCAGATAATTTGAGTGTCGTGTGACAAACTGGGGTTTGAAATTGCTTTGAACCTGCAGCAGCTTTAAGGTACCAATTCCTCAGCCTTTAGGTGGAAGAAATGTGATCCTTGGTTTGCACACGCTAAAAATGCTGGAAGTGTTTTCCTTGGCACTATTTTTCCTCTATAGCTCAGCATCCAATCCATTACTACAAGGAAAATGGAGGAAAATAACTGGGTAGTTCCCTCCCTCTCCCCCTCCAAAGAACAAGAAAAGGAAGTTAAATTGGGAATGCAGAAGATTAATTTCAGTCTGTTTTAATGGAATAAAGGCACCTTTGCAGTAAAACTTCAAGAGGGCTATGAGTTCTTGCAGAGAAACAAATATCCTGGAACCCTTTGGTGGAAGTTGAAGGATCAGGAAGGTGATCCTGTGGACCAGGAAGGAAGTGTCATTGTATTTTATATTGTTTTTAATTAAAAATATAGAACTGTTTACAAGACAGCCTACCTGATATGGTTCAGAGTATTTCCAAACTAAAAAATACTATTTTTTTTTCCCCCTAAGGTGAAAGAAACCTCAAATATGGACAGAGCAAGGAAAACACGGCACTATCCAGTATTATTTAAAATAATGTTAATAATTCATGCCTAGTGGTGGGTTTTTTAAAAGAAATTAAACCATCTCTCCATGGCAAATCAGTTCCAAAAATCCTTGTATAGTGTCACCACCTCATGAAGCTGTTTGTGTGTGACACCCCAAACCCCTTGGCTCATCCAGAGCTTCCGGAATCCCGGAAAGCACGAGAGGGAATGACAGACTGGTGAAACAAAGAGCTAAAAGGGAACGTTCTCACGGCATGCTCTGTACATGTCCAGGTTATTTTCTTAAAGAAGTTGCAAATTTTTAATTTTCTACATTTTTAAAAAACAAAACAAAACAAAACAAAACAAAACTGGGAAAAGCAACCCATCCATCCAAGTCTGGCTTCCCACCGGCACCTCGCGTCCTCTCTCCTCCCCTCCCGTGGAATTTGTAATAAAATGTTTTTGCAAGTGTGTAAAATGTTATCATATTGTATTGCCTTTAGGATCACTCAGGCTCAGGTTAGATAGACACCAAGAGAAAAAAGAAATAGAAAAAAAAAAAAACAACCCAAACCAACCTAATTCTTTAGAGCTTTTAGTTAAATGTGACTGACAAGGCTGTTCTCTCACCCTCCCGTAGAAGATCTCGGAGGTTATGACAAGGAAAATGCGGTTTTTACTTTCAGTGTGGCTTTGCTGGATTCACTGACAGCCTCCCTGCACTTCATACACTGGTTTTCTATCTGCACTTCCCCCATTTCCTGCTTCCAAACACTTTTTAGCCAATAAATCCTGCGGTGATTTTACATCCCCTTGCGACTTGAGTCCGTAATTTCCATGAAGCAACAGTTCCACCCTTTGGTTTAGAACTCTGAGGAAACACCATCCCCTGTGAGTAGCCCTTGGTTTCTTAAAGGTTAAAAAAAAAAAATCACTGTAAAAAATACTTTAAAAAAATCCAGGATAAACTGGAAAAAAATCGTGATTAAAACTGGAAAATCCTCCTGTGGGTACAAAGTGTTTGCTTTTTCTTGCTTGAGATGCAAAACCACCATCCCTGCCTTTAATTTCACTTTTTTAAGGTTAATTACTTTTTCAAATCAAATAGGGTCATTTTTCATGGACTTTCCACTCTGCTGGTAGATTATCCCAGTTCTTTAGGATCTGGGCAGCAGCACACATTTTATATCACTACTTGGAATTCTACTGGATCACCACTGAAAATACACCAATGCAATCTGGGAGAATGAAAGGAACTGCATGAAAAAACTTTCATATTTCAGCAACCACAAAACCCACCTGTGGTTCATTAAAATAAGGGGAGAGCTACAAATTCCCTGGCCATTTATTTGTTCAGGAGGATGCAGCTTCTTCCCATCAATGTTGATAGGGAATGGTCCCGACCCATCGCTGCATCCGTGAGGGTTTGACAACCAAAACCAAAAAGCACAGCCATCACCTAAATCCCACTTCACTTCCTGTGAAATTCAGTTTGCAAGATGTAATTTCAAGTGATTTTGAAAGAGAAGAAAGCACGTGATTCAACAAAGCAAAGTATTTTTACACCGAAGAATTGCAGTGAGGAAAATGAAATTCTCATCAACATTTCGGAATCCATTAACCCTGAACTGGACAGGTTTTAAGGCACAGAAAGATTAATTTACAAACAGCTTCAACTCCTAAATAACTGCAGCCCCAGAACTCTCTCCTGTGACCCTCAATAATCCATATTTTATATAGATTTGTATTTTACTGCCTTTCAGAAAGGCCTCCGGCCTGGAAGGTGCCAGGAGATGGACAATCCATCACTGTCCTGGATTGATTGATTATTTGTCCCAAAGTCACTCCCCCCCATCAGAGCCACACTCTCCACTCATTAAGGGGTCACCTTAATCCCACAGAGCTTCACTGTCACCAAGGGCCACCTCTACACCTCCTTCACATGGACCTCAGATGGTTTCTGCATCTCACCACAAATCCCTTTCTTTATTTTCTGATGATTTCTGCACCATTTCTGTCCTGCTTTCACCACATCCTTGTCCTCAAGTGTAGAGGGAGGGAAAGAAGCAACATGGAAAACACTCCACCCATCAGTAAAGCCATCAAGTCCTCTCCTGTCTCACTGCTTCCTATCACACATCCCAAGAACTTCCAAAATAGGATTTTTTTCCCTGATCTCAGCAGGTTTTCACACTGACTTTGCTCTCCATAGACCCACTACGTGTTCAGAGCCTGTTCTTCAGGACAGACTCCTGGGAGTTAAAATCCCAGATTGCTTTGGGTACTGAATCCCAGAGCCATGGGATGGGATGGGTTGGGTCGGGAGGCACCTTAAAGCCCACCCAGTCCCAGCCCCTGCCGTGGGCAGGGACACCTTCCACTAACCCAGGATGCTCCAACCTGGCCTTGGACAATTCCAGGGATGGGGAGTCCACAACCTCTCAGAGCCCTCTCTGCTCTTCCATCCACCAGCTACATTTTTTTCTGTATCAGAATGGAATTTGATCTGTTCCATCACAGAAAGGAATCAAGGCTGTGTATTCACTGTCATCATTGCACAGATCTGCCAGCTGAAGTGTCTTCCAGGAACTACACAGAGGAATCCAAACACCCCACCTGGACATCCCGGGTCACCGAACCACGAGTGTTTTGGGTTGGAAGAGACCTCCGAAGCTCATCGAGTTCCAACGCCCTGCCATGGGCAGGGACACCTCTCACCAGACCAGGAAATCTCCTTTTTAAAATTAAATTGTTCAGGAACTACCTCAGTTTTCTTGGCTTTGTAATTGAAGCCCATTCCAAGCTGCTGACCAGGAGGAGGTTGGAGCAGCCAGGATTCCTCTGGACCCACCATCGTGGCTGGTTAGCCCTGATTTACTGAAGGAGGACAATTATTGCCTCACACTGAACAATGCTGGAACCCAACATCCTTCAAAAGAGGTAAGGAAAGAGGCAGTTTAAAATCATCCTTCCAGAGGCTGAAGGAACTTGGCTCAATTTACTTTTTCTCCAGGCAACATGTTCTTCAGTAAGAAAGACATGATTTTGTTCAAGGTGACTTCTCACTGTGCCAGGAGCGGGAGCAGCTCGAGGCAGGAGCAAAATTAACCTCAAACAAGCAGCTTTGAGCAGCAACCTTGCAGGAGACAGCTCAGCACCCACAGCCTGCATCCTGCTCCTACTCCCACTAATAATACAATAAATACATCTATAATAAATATAAAATAACACAGAACCTTCTGCTCAGCAAACGGATCAAGTAAAAATCACCACCGAGGCTTCCAGAGAGTCCAAAACAATGAGGATTAAAAACTCTCCTGCTACCAAAATTGTGGTCAAATCAGATTTCAAACTACCAATTATACTCTGTTTTATTTAATATCTAGTTTTTCTCCTTGCAGCTGGTCTACATTATTTCAAGGTAATTCTCTTTTGAAGGTATGTGACAAACCCAGCTTCTTTTATGCAGAAACTTACATTTAAGGATTGTAAAAAAAAACAAATGTGCAAGGTCAAAGGAAACTGTTGGAGAATCTTCCAGTTCAACACTCTAGGAAAGGCACCTCCTGTCATCAGACATTTTCAGTTGAGCACTTAAATACTTGACATTCCTCCACTGCTCACAAACTGGATTATGCAACATCAGGTTTTGGATTTTTCCAAGGAGAAAACATGCAGCTTTAGGACACCAACACAACTAAATTTATGGAATAAACAAATTGTTATGTCCTCTATTTTACTTCTTTTAAAATAAGTTATCATTACTTGAACTTTGCCTCTAAATCCTTTATTTTTAGAATTCCTTCCCTTACTCTTGCTGGATGGTTAATTCTCTACTGTAAGTTCCAGGTAAAATTAAAAAAAGAAAAGTCCATGCATCATTTCAAGCCAAATCTGATCCAAGGGAGGTCAGGTTATGCTTCCTAATTATGATTATTACGCATTTTACTCTTCCTGCTTTGCTGACACCACAAAAAGAAGTTGTTACTGCTTACTCACAGGGGCCTCCTTTCAGCAACAGGTTGAATTCTGAGTTAGGAGAAAGCACTCCTTGAAAATATCCTTCCTGTTAGTCCTCATTAACTAATTACAGAGGCTGCAGATGGAGGGATTCCAGGCTGTGCTCACGAGCACCGGGGATATTTTTAATACAAATGTACTTCATTAAAACACAACCACAAGTTTTCAGATCTAACGTGATAACTGCAAAAGGCATCATTAACATTTCTGAATACCATTTGAATCATGTTCATCAAAACAATAATTAATTCGCATTCAAACTGAAGCTGAAGAAGTTAAAATAAAACACACACTTCTTTCGCCTTCCTCTCACTCCTACTGAA